TCAGCCAAGCTCCCTCCAGTCCCACTCCCTCCCGCCAGCTCCCTCCAGTCCCACTCCCTCTCAGCCAAGCGTGGAGACGCGTCCTGCCTTGGATTGAAGCTGGTGAGGGTGAGACGAGGGTCAGCGAGTGTGCACCTGTGTGCATCCAGATGCCCACACACCAGCACTATTATTTTATTAAATAAGGGAGAAATGATCCACTCCGGCTGTCAGACCGGTTCCCTGGCATGTAGAGGTGTGTGGCACCCCAGTGTCTCCACTCACACCTAGCGTAATGGCAGGAAAAATCAGGAGTTCTTACTCGCTTAGTTTCAGGTACCAGGTCGTCCTTCATCCTTCGTTTGGTCCAGTCCTTGGCCAGTTCGTCCTCAGCTATCTCCTGCAGGTGGAAGACCGCTACTTGGGCTGATGTGCGCCGGATTCTACCACTAGGAGTCCTTTCAAAATCTTCTACGGGGCTGGCCTCTGGCTTCACCTTTGGCTCCTCGGGAGGCTGAAATATGGAAAGGATTAGGAAAGAGAATGGCTAACAGCTGTGAGAGGAAAGCCTTCTTATCACTGGTGCAGGGAAGTTCAGATCTTGCCTTTGGAAGCTTTCAGGGCCTGCGTGTTTGTACGCCAGCTTTTGCACACACTGCTGATTGCAGTGCATGTTGCAAATGAACTGTCACACACGGGTAAGTTTTGGGCTTGCAAAACGCTAAGGGCCCTTTCCCAGGCCTTCTCCGCAAACATGCAAAGTTAGAGGCTGGAGGCTGCAAATCTGGCCCTCCAACTGGAGTGACGCTTCCTTCTTAACCGAGCTAGAAGTCTAACTTCTTTAGTGAGATGTTCTTTTAACCCTAGCCGTGTTCCCATATATATTAATGTCTCAGTCTGAGCAAGTTACAGCAGTGAGTGACTGTCCGATCAGTAGAGTTCAACAAAATGTATGAAACACTGACTAAGTGTATGCCTACACTGGAGCTGGAGGTGTAATTTCTAGCTCACGTGGATCTCATCAAGCCAGTGCGCTAAAAATTGCCATGTAGACACATTGGTGCAGGCAGTGGGATAGGCTGGGTGAGTACAATCCCACCCGGGGCCCTAGCTAGCCCACGCCGCCGCTACACTTCTACTTTTAGCACACTAGCTTGCTCACCGATAGCATGTCTATGTGGAGCTAAGATGGAAGTTACACCTCCAGTTCCAGTATAGATAGACCCTCAGAAGTCAGTTCTACCAGCCTTACTCACACTGAGCAGCAGTCACTCACAAGAACAGCCTCCACTGGGGACTCTCTTCGGGTTTGTGATGGGGTGGATTCATGCCCTATCAGAGGATAGTTTCACGTTCAAATTACATGCCCGGCTGAACATTTAAATGGGCAGTGAGACGTGTGTACACAACAGTAGAGAATTCAAGCTTCATTTGACCCTCGTTGTTCCACTCCGGAACTTTTCTCATCTGTCTCAAAACCCCAAGATCGTGTTTAAAGAAGTCAGGGACAGTTTGGCCCCATTGTAATGAGAGTTTCCTGCTGCCCTATGAACATAACATGGGCTTTGGGGGTTTGCTGCACCTACCGCACTATCTGCTTAAGTGAACAGAGACACAAGCTTTAACGATCAGCCTTGCTCTTGAATCTCACCGAAGAAGTGTGCTCCGACCGCACGTGGTAGTCATGTCCCGCCTTGGATTTATACTTCTTCCTGCAATGTGGGCAGGTGAATATGGGCTTCTCCACTTCAGAGGGCTGCTTCCCACACCGTTTCTGGTGGTACTGGTACCCCATCAGACTGGAAAAGTTGGCTGTGCAACCCTATGGAGATGGGAACAAGAGAGGGTTAGATGGTGCATTCACCGTACATACATGCAAACAGGCTGAAAGGATCATAGCACCATCACGCCAACATTTCAAGGAGGAACACATCTGTACCATCTACCACGCTGTTCTGCACCTCCACGGCATGGCCCCTGAACTTCCCCATTTAACTCCTGTGGGAGCTGTGAACCACAGGGCAGCTGCACCATCCCTGCAACCTCTCTCCAGCTAGTCTGGGAGGTGTCTTATCACGGCCTTCATTTTGCGCAAGGATGTTGTGTCCCAAACCCATTCTGCTTGTCACCCTGGGAATGGAGCAGATGTTCCTCACTTTCTGGGGAATCTGTCCTAGTTTACTTCTCTAAGATTTCAGCTCTGCCAGCTGGCGCGCTCCACCTCCCATACAATTTTGTACCATCCACCAAACCCATCAAAGGCACAATTCTGAGACTTGGGTTCAGAGCAACCCGAGCTCTCCGCTTGTTTAGAGCACGCACAAGTAAATGGAAAGGCACGGGACCCTGGCCTGCCCAATGGACATGTTCATTCCAAAATAGCCTAAAAAAATTACATTTAGCCTCAGACACGGAGAAATAGAGGGAGGAGACCAGTCTGGGCTTGACTTGTGCCCCCTGCAGCACTTCAGCACCCAGGTGCGAGGAGTCTCAGAAACACGTATGACAGACAGGCTGAAAAGTGTACATCTTGGGGTGGAAAGAACTGCTGCATGTGGGACCAACCTGGCAAACCCTTCACAGCCAGTTATTTTGCCCCTTTCCCTGTTCCCAACGTGTCTGCAAATAGCTCACTGTACATGTAATTGCAGCTATTCACTGAAGAACTTCAGTGACTAATTCTTGCCCCAGAGCTTGCTTGTGAGCAGTTCGTTGGTCGCAAGTATTCAAAATTCCCACTGGATGGGTTAGATACGATTGGACATGCTGGCCCACATGTGTTATGTTTCTGTTCCCTGATTGGAGGAGATTCGGGGCAGATACTTGAGTTTACCAGTTGGGAATTCCCCTTCTGTGAATATTCCTCAACCTCCCTGTTTCCGTGATCATTCCTGCCAGGAACTGACACAGAGTGCACCCCCCGCCCCCCGGGGAGAACTGAGCTGCAGCGAATTCATTTTAAAACGCCCACAGTCACAGAGACGTCTCTGGCCGCCTCGGTATCTGGGCTCTTTATTCCTTTCATCCTTTTGCAGAACGATAAATAGGAATTGTTCTTATACCTCGTTGGGGCATTTCAGTTTCCCCATCTGCTTTAGCACTTTCCTCAGCCTTTCCCGCTCTTCCTGTTCACCAACTCCAGCGGTTTCCACAGGACCAGGCTGGAAACAAGGAAGTAACAGAAGCGACAGAGTCAGCCATTCACTCGTGTCCTCTGTGCCCTGAGTGCTGTCTCAAACTTCGCCCTCACAAGGAATTACTCTCTCTGAGCTCTTAGAGGAGAGTCTTGGGTTAAAAATTCATGGGCTGGATTTTCCATAGTTTCAATGCCCTTGAAACCGCTTGCTTAATTTGCCCATACAATTAGCATGTGTTTGCATGCAAACGGCTAATTTGAAAATACATATGCAACTCATAAGTGAAAAAATCTGCTTTTACAATAGACCACAGGAGACGGATTCACAACAAAAACGCAATATGGAATTGGTAACTTCAGGACATACAGAAAATACAGTTATGCCTTGCCCTGGTCTCCCAGAAACATACAGGACCAGATTTTTAAGAGCGGCCTCAAAAAGTTTGTGCCTGCCAGCTTTTGTGTGCACAGAGAAGTTCTTGTGCAAACCCCACATTTGCATGTCCGAGGTAGACTTCGTTGCATGCCCTGTGGGAGGTTAAATGCCCAATTATGTGATTCCTGTAAGTAACTACCCATTTCCCATGGTTTTGCAAGCCCAATTTTGGAGGCAGAGTTTAGGCACTTTGAAAATTTGGCTCCACAATTTTAGTCTTTTCTGGTCACGCTACGACGCGCGGAGTCCAGTGGGTGTCCATGCTGTATATGTGGATATACGCTGTGTGTTAAGGACTGACAGTGCGCAGTACAGGGAAATCAGGGCATGTTGCAGATCTGGATTGAGGTACACGTTGGGAGCTGTGTGTGGGATGGTGGAAAGCCAGTGCTTCCAGTCCTTTGTTTCCATAAGCACCAAATTCACCATTTAAAAAAAAGAAGAAGAAGAATTGTTTCTTTATTCATCTTCTTCACCTGCATCTCCCGGAGAGAGCGAGAGAATGAAAACTGGAGATCAGTGCGTGCTCCGGGAATCCTTACCTTGTTGACGTGCTCAGCCATGGTGTGATAGTTGAGCCCAGCTTTGGATTTGAACTGCTTTTTGCAGTGTTGACATTTCAAGGCATCCTGCAGCTGAACAGATTGAAGGAGAGTCACCACGCCGGCCGTTTCATTTTTGATTTCCCAATGAGTGCATTCTGCCTCAACCCAACAGGGAACACTTGATGTAGGCCCCGCAAGATGACATTTTGAAAGCTACTGAATGATGCTGGACCTGAACCAGAACCTTAGATCAGAACCCCAGCCCTGGGACCCAGTCTGAGCGGGCAGCTTTATCCTCTCTCTCCAATGCACCAAATGTGGGTTTCTAATCCTCATGCCCCAAACTTTGGAGAAGTTTGATTTCAGGCCTGGATTTTCAACCCCCCAGACTTGGGTGCGCTTGGACCTGGGGTCTCAGTTCAGCTCATTAGAGGGATACAAAACGTAGCTCTACTGGTCTCGTAGAGACTGCACTCTGCAGACATCTGTAATCATGATGAGTCCTGGAATGTGATATACTCCCCTCTGCTACTGGCCTGTCCAAAACTGAAGAACTATTTGAAAATGTCACCGAGATTTAATCAGCAGAATAGTTTCATGAGACGATTACTCTGCCATACGACCCCTGACTCTGCATTACATGTGGCCTGTTAAAAAATGCAATGAAAATGAGCTACTCTGCATTGCAACTGCTAACCTGCTGATGGACAAGCAGAATTTACAAAGCAATTAAGCATATATTGACTTCCACTGAGGTGAATATCAAGATTTATCGACCCCAGAGGCAAATACGCACCACCGTGAACCAAGAGACAGTAAGTCTAGATAGCCACCAAAATGAAAAGTCAATGCATGTCATGGTTCCAGTCGTTCCAACAGCTAGCCATCTAACTGTATAAAGTGTAGGGGGATTACCCAGTAGCAAAACACCAGCTCCTAAACCACCTCCTTTCCTGGCTACTGGCATAGTGCCCAGGAGATCTCTGGCTGCCATATCAGGCCCTTGTGGCTACTGGAAATTGATTCAAGTCAGAGCAGGCCCAATCTACACTGGGGACCAGGTGCGCCCACAGCTGGCTAGGATCGGGAGAGCAGAAAGCTGCTTTTACACCCCCATCCTGAGCTGAGCTCCTCAGCCACAGCGGAGGATCTGGGTCTATAATTCCATCGCGGGAGATTTTCCGACATCGGAAACCACGAAGAAGAGCCCTATGTAAGGTCAAAACTTCCAGCCACAGAAGTTAGTCCCATAAAAGATATTGCCCATCCCCTCCACCTCGTCTCTAAAATATCCTGGGACCCAACATGGCTCCAACACCACTGCAAATCATAAACCATGGCTAACTCACGCCCAAATCGACAGATTAAATTCTGCCAGAAGTGCTGGGAGCGCCAGCTCTGGGCTAGCAGCGAGCACCACAGGATGGTGCCCCTTGGAACGGCCCAGCAGGCAGCAAGAGGCCCAGCTACCTGATCTGCACAGCCACACGCCTGTTTACACGCGGAAAGGCAAGTTTTACTGCCCTCACATGGATTCACACATCAAGCAGGCTGGCCGGTCTCATGGCCCTTTATGTTACCCACTGGTCTAGGGAGACCTTCACAAAGCACACTGTAAATGTAACAGAGAATGGATGAAATCCGGACGCCACTGAGAGTTTTGCAATTGACTTCAACGGAGCCAGTGGTCGGAATTGATCCTATGTCATCTTTCTCTTAGAATGGATTTATTTCTAACCCACCAGGAGCCTGATGAAGATGGAATCGGTTTGTCTGATGGATGCTGACGCAGAGGAGAGTCAGTTTTTCACGGTACCATTACTGACCAACAGCACTTTGACAGGCTTACTAAACACACCTAGTTGCCCCAAAGTCTGGCCTCAGTAGCACGCATATCAATGCATATGCATGCAGCGGGGGTGTTACACAGCTGTAACTGAAGGCTGTGTCCAGACAATAAGAAAACAGCTTATGCAAAAATGTACTGGACCAGTTTCTTACAAACTTTTGGGGCACCTTTATGTGTGTAATTACTGCAACTGTGTGTCCAAACTGGGGATTTGCCTGGAAAAACCGCCGCAATTATCCAACGTGTGCACTAAAGGGCAGTACCTGCACACACAAATTAGGCACAAACGCTGCAGGTGCAGTCACATGCCTAAACAGTTTGAAAAGCGGGCACCTATCTTACGTTTTAAACGTTGGTTTTTCAGAGACTGAAGATTAACGGGCCACATTTCAATACAGAGATGCTCTCATCCACACCTCCACTTGCGTTCATTATCCAGGGAACCACCTCCACCCCTTGACAATGCCTAAGGTCTCCTGTGGCCACAATATCCCATGTGGAAAAGTCATAGTACTGAGGCACTGAGTGTGTGTTTGCCTTATTTTAAATACAATTTAAATCCAGACGGGGTGTTTTTCTGAGAGATGTGCGCGACCACAACCACAAGTTATTGGGCTCCGTGCACGAATGTCCCATGGTGAAACTCCTTGTGTTACGCAGGAGGTCAGATTAGATGATCTCCATGGGCATGTCTGGCCTTAAAAATCTATTAATTTAGCAGCTATTAATATGTCTGGCCTTAAAAATCTATTAATTTGAAGGCGGAGAAGCCAGCCTAAAGTGCCTAGTCAGCTCGCTGGAGACAACCAGTGGGTGTCCCACAGCTTGAGGTTTAGCGAGCACCAATATCAGTTAGGCTACGTCTACACTACCCGCCTGAATCGGCGGGTAGAAATCGATCTCTCGGGGATCGAATTATCGCGTCTCGTCGGGACGCGACAATCGATCCCCGAATCGACGCTTGTATTCCACCAGCGCAGGTAGGAGTAAGCGCCATCGATGGGGGAGCCGCAGAGGTCGATTTGCCGCCGTCCTCACAGCGGGGTAAGTCGGCTCGGATACGTCAAATTCAGCTACGCTATTCGCATAGCTGAATTTGCATATCTTAAATCGCCCCCCCCCCCCGTAGTGAGGACGTAGCCTTAGAGAAGATTAATTAATTATTAATTAATAAACAGAAGCAAGGATGGCCCAGTGGTTAGGGCACCTGCCTAAGACTTGAGAGTCCCAGGTTCAATTCCCTGCACTGCCACAGACTTTGTATGTGACCAAGGGCAAGTCCCTGAGCTTCTCTGTGCCTCAGTTCCGCATCTGAACAATGGGGACAATAGCATCACCTTATCTCACAGGGGTATTGTGAGGATAAATCCATTAAAAATTGTGATGCGCTCTGAGGTCTGCTGATGAAGAGTGCTACGTAAGAGGTAGGTATTTGTTATTATTAATAATTTCATTCTAGGGTGTGCAATTGCTTCCCCACCAGAATAAATTAGCTCAACTTGACCATTGCAAGCACCTACTTTTTGACAGACGTCCATGTGCTTTTTGAGCCCAACAATGGTTTTCCTGGTTATAACGCCACACGTAGGACAGGCAACTTCTCCTTTCTCATTGATCTCCCGCTGCCATTGGTCCTCTGGGTTTGCTAGAGGGGGAAAGAAAGGCAAAACAAGTAAAAAGGTTGGTGCTAGAGGGACAACACTTTTTCCAGAGTAAAGCCCTTTCCAGGATTCATGAATAAGAGAAACATCAAGGTTCGAAAGGTTGGAAGCCGCTGAAGTTGTCAAATGCAACAAAACATTCATAGAAAAGCCCCCAAATTGCAGACCACATTTCCAAAATTACAGGTGCAAAAATGCAGTTGGGTGCCTAATTTGCACGTAAAATTATTGCAACGGCTTGGGCAAACGGAGCCATTTGCACAGAGGCATTTGATTTGCATGCCCATTTTTGTGCGCAATGGGGAAAAACATATATTTCCAATATCTGGTCTTGTTGGGAAGTTTCTGCACTTTGGTAATTCATGCACCAGGACGTCCCTGTTTCATGCACCGAGTCAGGCTGCTAGCCCATGTGATTGCAATGGGGTTTACAAACCCCATAACGAGCATAGGCCGAAGGGAGAGGAGACCAGGCTGAGCACAGCTGCAGACTTGCCGATCGTGGAGGCATGCACCCTCAGCTGGGACCGAGAAGGAAAACAAGCCCAGCTATAAAGGAAGCAGAACAGAGGAAGATGGGGATGCCGAAAGGACTGGGATAGCTGAGGGGTAACAGCCCCATACCGGGATGCCTCTAAGAAACAGAGGGAGACAAAGGAAGACTGCAAGCCCTGGAGTTTAAGAGCTGACTGACTCATTTCAGGTTAAGTTGAGATGAACAGGGGGAGACCAGAATCATGTCCCCCAGATATGGACTGGCAACAGAGCTTGCTTATACACACCAGGTGTGATCATCATCAGATCCTTTTAACGCTCTGCCCGGTATGGCTCAGACTTGGTTAAATAGGTAGTTCATACACAGCGCTACCCAGGGGCTGAACGGTACAATGCAGTTTAGCATTCCATTACATCTCCCCCTTTAAGTTCTACACGCCTACCATTTCCCATAGTTACATTATCTGCTACCTCTGTAGTTCAGTACAGATCAATCTGTTGCATGTTGCAGAATCATCCTGGTTTTCTAATTACATGACCCAAAAATGTAACAACTTGTTCATCTGGCTGTCCATTAGTTGCAATGACTGGCTGTGGTTGGGTTGGAATCCTGGATTCTTCTTCTTCTTCTGCATCTGTCATCTGTAGTGTTGCTCTGTGCTGTTCTTTCTGGGGAGCAAACTGGAGACATCAACAGTTTCTGTTGAACTCTTCACTGTCGGTCTTGATCACATATGATCGAGTTTTTCTTTGAGACAGCTGGCGTTGCCCATCCTTTTTCTACATCCAATTTGACATGAACATGGTCACCCGGTTCTAGCTGTGGCAATTCTCTGAGTGGTATCTGCTGTAGAAGTGTTCATAAGCTCTTTTAGATTTTTTACCTGATTTGGCTACTCTCTTCATGTCTGGCCACTTTGGAGATAGGGTTTTTTCCAAAGTTGGAAGAGAACTTTTGTGATGTCTTTCTGTCAGGAGTTGTGCTGGACTATATCCAGTAGCCGCTACTGGTGTCGATCTGTAACTCAGAAGAGCAAGAATGGATCTTCCTGCTGTAGGATTTTCCTGGCTATCTGTACAGCTCTCTCACCTCTCCATTTGCTTGTGGGTAATGTGAGCTCCAAGTAATAGCATCAAAATCATGTGTTGTTTGGAATGACTCTAATTTTGCTGCAGTGAACTGTGGTCCACTGTCCGTCACTAGTTATTCTGGAATACTGAAGTGAACAAAAGCGGTACTTCAGTTTCTCAATAACACTGCAACCTGTTACGACTTTCAAGTACATTATTTCAGTATACCTGGAAACAGTCCACAAGCACCAGCTAATTATGTCCTCAGAATCTGCATAAATCTGCAGCTAATCTCTTCCTAGATCTCTCAGGAAGTGGTGTCTGTACACTGTATGGCTCAGCATTGTCTCTTATGTTGATTTGAACTGGATCTCCTTTCAAAAGTTCAGTATCAACAAATCCTCTATAGAGTTCCGACTTCCACCCTTCTTACTAGGCCCATCCTGGCTGACACCTTTCGGCTGAGAAGGTTGTTGGTCTTTGATCACACACACTCTGACTGCAAAGCTTTTGTCTTTGTAAATTATTTCTGTGATGAACTGGCCCATGCAGTTCAGAATCCCTGGCGGGCTACTCAGAGCTGAGTCAGGTGACTTCAGCTCTGGCCTGGGACAGGCTGAAGGTGATTGTAAGTCCTTTCTGAGATGACTGTGACATCAGCTCCTGAGGCAATTTTAAAGTCAATAGTTCTGTCGTGACTATTCAATTTCACTTTCCGGGCAGGCTCCGTGTCATCACAAGTGATAGATCCCAGAAACAATGCCTCTTGATTGTCTGTAATTCGAGTCAACTCCCTGACTGCTTCGGTGCAGCAAACAGCCACAAAATGTCCATATTTCGTGCATGTATTACACCGTGCGCCTCCGGCTGGCCATGCATCATCTCCTGGGATATCACTTTTCCCACACCTTGTGCATGGAGGCTGGAATTTGTCCCTCTTAGCCTGGGAGTTCTCTCACCTTCCTTCAGGAGTTGTAGGATAATGACTTTTAACTCTCAAGTGTCTGTTCACAGCTTCTAAGCTAGTTTCAGGGTTTTCGGGGTGCTCTGCCTTTTGGTCTGTTGTTTCACTAATACTGACTGCTTTACTATCTGAACAGCTGTAGCTAAGTTTAAATCTCTCTTCAACTGTAGCTGCTGTGAAAGGTTTTTATCTGTTAACTTACTAACCAGTCTCTCTTTGATATTCTCATGTTTTGCATGCTCAAAATCACAGTTTTCAGCCAATGTATGCAGAGCTCTTATAAAACATTCAACATTTCCCCTTGGTTCTTGAATTTTCTGGTGAACACATGTCGATGAGGTACAAAGTCTGCATCAAATATAGGCAGAACCCTTTCATAGACATCTTTGTGACGGTCTTCAGTAAAGTCAAAGGGTTTAAAAATATGCTCTGCCTGCTTCCCCATAGCATCAATTAAAGAAGATACCTGTGTATCTCCAGTTTCTTTGCGGAGTTTGTTTGCAGTTCGAAATCTTGCAAAACGCTGCTTCCAGTCTGTCCACTGGGAAGGCTTATCAAGGCTGAAGTTCTCTGGGGGGCACTGAAGAGTGGCATGTTGATGAGATCTTGCAACCTTTGTTGCTTTGGTCCTTCTGTCTCTGATCTTAGTTTGCTCCTGATACCATGTCATGTCCCTGTACCAGATACGGACTGGCTACAGAGTTTGCTTATGATGATCACACCTGGTGTGTTTAAGATCCTTTAATGTCCTGACAGGTAGGGCTGAGGTTCATTTAAAGAAGGTATTTTACACACAATGCCACCTAGTGGGTGAACGGTATAATAGCGTTTAGCAGGCCATTAGAGGAAAGCTGGGACCACTAGACAGATGGCCCCTAGAGCGGCTGACAGTGATCCTTCCTTCCCCCTAACAACTCATCTCCCCTAAGAGAAACTCAGCGAAGGAATGAAACATAAACGTCAACGTCAGGCTTCCAAACCGACTGTGTGCGCGTAAGCTCTGTAACTGGTATCTCTGCCACCTGCACAAACACAGGCAGCTACTGTCTGCATGCCAAGTTTCTGACGTGTGTTTATTTAAATGTGTGATATGAGATTTTAAAAAACCCCACAGGAGACCAGATTCTGATCGCAGACGGATGTAAATCTGGAGGTCTCTCTATTGACTCAGATAGGGTGACTCTGCTTTTACGCCGGGGAAGTATGGTCAGCATGTGGCCCGTTGAGTTTGTTTATTTGAATGTCTCCGCATTGTGATGAGCTGAGAGAGCCACTTATTTGCATGTGCAATCAGTGAAAAGCACTGCAGCTGTGTTTCTTCTGCACCTCCTGCATGCCTCTCGCTGTCAAGACTGCCAGTGAGAGCAAGTGCTGCCTGAGGAAGAACTCAGGAACGCAGGCTCCAGATAGAAAATGGTCGGTATGTTCATTCAGTTCGTAGTGGAAGAACTGTGCACAAAGCGCCGCCGATAGTCCAGACGCTGGTCCCACTGAAGTCAGTGGGAGTTTGGCTAGGGACTTCATGCATGAGGGGCAAGATTTGGGTCTATGTCATTTTCCATGGCTTACAGTGTCATTACTTGAAACCCCAGGGCAGATTCGAGGCTGCCTTGGGGAAGTTTTGTGATGCTTTCCCTGCACTGGCCACTGGGCAATCTCTCCTATGCAGCAGCATCACTGGGAGCTGCTGTAGTGGCTCCTATCCCTCCCTCCCTCCCTGTGGGTGGTGCAGGGGAAAATGCCAAGAGAAAGGGGTTGTGGCAAGGACATCTCACCCCGCTGTTGAATGGCCTGCTGCTAAAATGGCCCCTTAGGGCCACGTGCAGCTGGGGTAACTCAGAGCAGCCTATTGGCTGCTCTAAATTGTCGTGGGGAACTGGAACAATGGAGACCAGCCCAGGATCATGAGGGTGAAACAGCGGCATAATCTTCTCGGTCACCCTCTCCTGAGCTCTGCCAAGCACTCCTCAGCCTCGGCTTGAGATCTGGGCCTCAATGTCACTAAGACCCCGAAGTCCACATTGAGAACTGAGTCTATCGTGAATGGGAAGGTTCAAAAATAAGCTATTTCTGAGTGCTCCAAGCACCGAGACAAGTGTCAAAACATTTTCTTAACCTCTAATCATTCCTCACTCAGGCAAAATGACTTTGGTCTCTTATTATCCGAGCTCCATTAACCAAACTGTTGCTTTGTTTTTCCTCCCTCACTCTTGGGAGGTTACCACCAAGTGACCCAGTTCTCAGCAGGCCGGGGAATTCTCACGCCTCACCCGAGGATAAATGCGACACGGCCTCCCTTTTCACACCAGCTCCTGGAGGCTTCTTTTTCAGCTCATCCGTGTTGCTGGTCCCCTCCAGTTTCTTGGCTCGATGGGCCTTTGCCTTGTCCTCTGCTTTTGCCAGGCCTGTAGAAGAAGAGCAACCTTTATTAAAGACATACACCGTGAAACCGGGGCCTTGAGACAACGAGGTTTGATGGATGCTCTTCTGGTGAATGTTATCTAACTGATTCATTAGGCAAAAATCCTGCAGTCCTTTCGGCACAATGCCTACTGAAGTCCATGGGAGTTTTGCCTAAGCAGCAATGGCAGGATTTGACCCATGACTATGATATGCTGAATCACGCATGCACCTAGAATTTTGCAAACAGAAAGCAAGACACTTTTCCTGTTCCCAAAGAGTTTACAGCTTGGGAAATTCCAAGCCAAGACAGAGCACGGGACAGTCAGATAAGGGATGGAGGGTGAGGGGAGCACGCTGGGAGGGATTTCTACCTGACGCCTGATGGAGGAATTTGAAAGAGGATAATTATAATTATAATATATGGAGATATACCCATCTCCTAGAACTGGAAGGGACCCCAAAAGGTCATCAAGTCCAGCCCCCTGCCTTCACTAGCAGGACCAAGTACTGATTTTTGCCCCAGATCCCTAAGTGGTCCCCTCAAGGCTTGAACTCACAACCCTGGGTTTAGCAGGCCAATGCGCAAACCACTGAGCTATCCCTCCCCCTGCTTTTGAGACACTGGAATATTAAAGGGCTGTTTCTGCTGAGAGACGCATGCAGGGGACAGCTTTGGGGAGCTGCTCGCCAAAGGAAGCCAGAGTCCCTACTATTAAATAACGCAGTTCTGGGATCACAAATGGGATCTTTACTCCCCACAGCCTTAAAAATTTGCCATCATGAATCCTGGGACTTCATTAAACAGGCCGTGTTGTCAGACTGTGAAACTGCCTGGGAATAGGAGAGCACAGAGCAGGGCTAGCGTAAGAGTGAGTGCCAGGCACACGTGGGAACCGAAATCCCTCGGGAGACCAGGCTGCTGCCACCTGCGCTGCTGAGTGAGCTGCCGTGTTGCCAAGTCTGACTGCAAAGGCAAACACATTTGCTCCTGGTGGAAAAGGGATTAGCAGGCAGAGTTATATATACACAGAGCCAACGGCACTCGGTCCAGCTTCCCTGCTTAATCATGCCTTTGTGTCCTTTCTCCCACCTCATCTTTGCATCTTGTTCCGTGCTCGGAACAAGCGATTCCTCGCTTTTCATTCTGGTCCCTCCAGACACACTTCTTATGTGATTCTTTTGGGCCATAATCCACCGAGGAAAGGGGCCAGGATCGTGTCTTCCCCTATGGACTGTATAGTGCCAGACAAGCAGCTGATGGACCAACAAATATATAGCAATAATAACAGCTCCATCTGATGCCCCTCTGCTCTGCACATGCAAAACCTCACACTGTGTGGGCAGTTAACAGGCAGGTTACCCACCAGGGTCTGTGCAAGAAATGGAAGATACAGTTTTAAAGGCCACTTTTGAAAATCTGGCCAATAGGGACAGATATGGGTTGCAGCAAGACCTGTTTGCCCAGAATCACGTTTTGGTCCAACACCCGCAGACTGGAATTTTAGAACGCGAGTCCCGAGAGCCATGTGCATTTTTAGGCCTCTGTTTCATGCTCTTTCTGCACATGCCTGCACGGGAGGAGTTACATGTGAAAACTGAGCATTTACAAGTGCAAATGCATATTTGTGAGCACAGACGTCTGATTTGCTCAGGCAACGGCAGGAACCTCGTGTGCAAAAATGATGCAAAAATGTCCCGCGAACTCCAGGCCCCAACTGGCTGTTAAGGGCACTAGGGATCCTGTACCCAGTTGCTGACATTTGAGATGGGGAAGGAGATGAGGATGCTGGAGCATACTCGGGGTGGAGCTGCAGGTAGAATATTAAATCAAAGGCAGTATGATGCAGCCATACTTCTGGTGCGGCCCCATCCCTCCTTTTTTGGGTGGCAGGTCAGAGAAGATCATCTCAGTCATAAGCCATTCATAGGTGAAGTTTTAGGTCCCATCTTGGATACAGAGTCTAACCAATGCTTCTGTTGGAGGCTCTGCTCAGGGTGCCCTGGGTAATGAAGAGATCACAGATACCTGCCTTCACAGGAGCAGGGAGGAGGGGCAGTATTCTGGAAACACACAGTGGGAAGCTATAGGCTCTGGAATTGAAACAGGGCTGCCCCGTATGTTACCTTTCAATCCAAATGTCCCCGAGATGGACGGTTGCTCCCCAGTAAATTTCTTAGGAGTTTTCTGTTTCCTTCCTGACTCGAGAGAGAGAAAACAGAGATAAAAATTTGGTCAAATAACTGCACTGCAAGCGTGGATTTAAATACACACGGGGCAAAGGCACCTGGATGAACTCTGGATCAGGAGGTGAGCAGTAAGGGATCCAACCTTACTTTACCCTCCCCCCCGCAAGGGGCTTTACTGCCCTGAAATGAAGCAGCTCTGGATGGGACCCTCAGTCTGACTCCCTCGTAGAACACTAGAGGTGCTGTCCTTCTTTCCAGATCCCATGGCAGCTGAAAGGTCTGCTCCCGAACCCTCGGATCCCTATCATCATAAGGCAGATCTGACTGCTGAAGGCTGTAGACCAACCTGGCGTCGAGTGACTAATGGCCCCCCAGCCCCCTACGCGGTTTCTGCACCTATGGTCTCCTTAGTGCTGTGGGAGCGGAACTCCACAGCCCCACTTTCCAGCCCCAATGCAGTCCCGACCCATGTCAGTCTCAGGCACGCTCCCCTCCGACTGACTGCTCCGTGTACGTGGCTTCGATTTCTGACTGTGGTTGTGCTACGCAGCTTCACTGAGTCCTGCTCCCCGGGGGCCAGATGCACGAGTGTAAACGGAGAGCGAGGCTATGGCTTTCAACGGAGTCACCCTCCATCACACTGCTGTCCCGGAGACCGGGAGTGACTCTACCCTTCGCCCTGGGACACCGCCCACTCCAGCCTCCTGAACCAACGGAGCCCCGGGCTCTAATCTTACTGTGCTTCATCCTCTCTGGGTCCTCCTCCTGGAGGGAAGCCCGCATGCCCCCTTGCTGTTTGGGATCCTTGCAGCTCGAAGACTTGGCCGTCGGGGTAGCTGCTGCTACGGCCTCCGCTGCCCTGATCTGAAATACTTTGTTCTTCCTGCTCTCCACCAGGCACTCTCCATTCTCGGGGACCACAGTCTTCTCCACCTTGGCCTGTTTGGGATGGATGGTGGGGGAATCTGAACTCTCAGCAGCTCTAGGGCAAAGCATAGAGGGCTCATGTAAAGCGGAGTCAAGAAACCAACGCTGTTGACACCTCTTCCAACCCAACGGCCAATCGGGATTGCACCCCAGTGGCCAGTGGGAAGGGAATTGGGAGTTTTCCCCTTCTCTCTTCCCAGCCTTCCCCAAGACACTGGCAAGCAGCTAAGCCACGCGCCGGTACCTTTTCTTGCCACTGGCCTTGCCAACGGCTTTCTGCACTTTGTTTTCTGCTTTGCTAGCTGGTACCGGCCTATCCAAGTGGTTCCAGAGCCTGTGCTTTTCCAGCTGGGTTTTGGATGTGAAGGCAGCTTCGCAGTAAGAGCAAGGGTAAGTCAGCTTCTCCGAGATCGCCCCCTGCAAGAGAGCAGAGAGGTGGGAGAGGGAAAGCACCAGCCCTTTCCCTGCAAGTGCAAGAACCTTCCTGCAAACTCACACTGCCAAGACTGGGAGGTAGAAGAATCCCTTTCCACACACGCCACAGCAGGTGAGCTTTTCAAAAGCACAAGGGCCGTAGGTACCTGATCCCCATCGACTTTCAATGGGAATTGGAGGGTTATTTCTCTCTGACTCCAATGGAAATTCCAGCCAGCATTTTAAACTGGAGACAGGGAGTGCTTTAGTGAGCTACACACACCCCAGTGCATCAAAAGGGGAATCTGGTCCTTCGTGGGGATGAAAACAGAATACCTTTTTTTTAAATAAAAGCATAACAGAGATCCTAATACCGTCAGCCGCCTAAACTGCAAGCGCAAATCCTGCATTTGCACATGCAAACAGGCACAGAGACGTGCAATTGCAAGCTGGCTAGAAAGTTGGAGTTTTGTGCACAATTCAGATGGCTGCTTTTTGAGAACAGGGGGCCAGTTTATCTCAAGTTGCAGCTTTGAACTGGAGGGTGAATCCTGCAATGTGATTTCCTTTCCCATTCTCTTTGCACTCCCTCATTCCACGCAACCTGGGCTCCCCGTTAATTTAATTCTTAGGCAAAGCCCTGCCGAGGGGCCTCAGCTCTCAGCTTGCTTTAGAATTCTGACGGGGACCAGCCCATGTGGGGCTTGGATCATTTTGCTAGGGAAAAACCTGACGTTCTCAATCCGTCTTTCCCCAGACAATGGGAATCCAGGGGGATGGGGGCAGGGGTGGGGTTGCCTACGGAAGGACGCTGTTAGGTTAAAGGAAAGCGCTGCCTCTTGGCACTGAGGGATGTGTGCAGACAAGGGACGTATCAGGGGAGGCAGCATTCCTCCGGCCCGGCTGGATAGAAGGAGTTGGAGTTTAATGGATGCAAGCAGCAACTGAGCATTAGAACGCTCCGTCTCCATTAAAGAGATTAGGGGTGAAACCCTGGCCCCGGTGAAAGTACAGTAACGGCAAAACTCTCATTGACTCCAACCGGGCCAGGATTTCACCTCACGTATGTACTGGGAAGTGTCAAGAAATGCAGTATTAGATCTGCCTCTTTGTATGCAAAGGTCCCTCCTGGGAAATCAGACCCCTGTGCACTGCCTCCCCCGTTGTACATTCAAACAGGGCAACAGCAGGCTCTGGCCTGGCCCCTATATTTGGGGGAAACTATTGCCCACCTCCATGAGCAACGGAGGGCCTTAGGTTCAGCAGAACCAACGCAGCTCCGTAGCACAGGGTGGGAGAAGGCAGCGCAGGCATTGGGGAATGCATGCCAGGGCTCCGGGCCCCAGCACAGAGATGCACTGGGGGCGAGGGAGCGAATGCACATCACTGCAGATCCACCCACCATAGGCAGGCAGTGCAGCAGCCAAAGGGGTTTCTGTAGCCCTCAGGCTGGAGTACCAGCCACGGAGTGGCTTTCTTCCCTCACACATCCCCAGCACACAGTCCAGTCAGTTGGGCTAAGGGCTGGATACTGGCCTGGGCCCTCAGTGAGGCAGAGTTTCCTGTTGATTTGCACTTAGCCGGTACTAATGTAGCTTTGCACATGATCACGCAAAATTCCTCCACTTGCACAGTCTGACCTGAAGGGAACACGACAGCTGGAGAGGCTAATACATTTGATAATCCCATTTCAGGGAGTGGTTATTCCATACTTCAAAATGTTCTCTGCCCATCCTCTGAGCTACCCATGCCATGGCAGGTAAAGCAAACCTACCCCCATGTGTACAGCCCGCGCCGCCTCTTAATAAACTGCAGAACAGCAGCAGAGACTGAAATAAACAGCAACCCTCAGTGCCATAAAAGTGGGGCAGAAAATTGAGGGGAGATTGCTGATTACAGAAAGGTTTCTGCTCAGTTTTCGCTGCCTTCGAATCTCGACAAATTCACCTGTTTGGAGCCTGCCCAGAAATTCTGCACAATCCCAACTGCTCAGCTAGAAAAGGGGGAAAAAAATTCTGGGGGGTGGGGTTTGAATCAATAATAATAAGAAAAGACAACGTATTTCCTCCGCTAGCCTGTTTCAGGTTTTGAGCTGCACATGGCAGGGATTGTGCCTCCCTCTGTTTGTAAAGTGCCTGGAACAAACTGGCGCTACCGTCACATCAATCAATCAATCTTTAAAAATAACCCCCACCCACCATCTGCAAAAAACCACCTTCAAGACCACATATCACACAGGTGCTATTCACACTCCTATGTCTACCTTGTTGTGGGGACCTGGTTACATCTCACACACTGCTCCAAAAGTACATTCACCTTGCCCTCCACCGCCCTCCCTCCTTGGGTGTCCGTAAGGAACGTGGTTTTCTTTTTAGAGGGGAGGTCACATAATCCAGGTGAGCAAGTTCCTTTTGCGGGATGGTAACTCAGCCTGGATTTCTGCACCATGCACACACAGGTAGGCGTGTACCTGCACACTCACGCACAGATACTTGCACAAAAGACAACCGCAAACAAAATTAGCATCTTCCTGGATAAGGAAGAGCCTAATTAAATGAAGTTTTCGTTTCCTTTTTGAACAGCTGAGTCATTCGAACTAACCACAACCATATTTTTTCCCCCAATAGTTCAAACGGTGGCTCCACTGGGGAGGTTTTGGATTTTTTAATGTTTTAAAAGGTCCAGCTCATTTCGATTGTCATGCTCCTGACATTCATTCCCTGCCTTGAGTGCAGGGGACTGGCCTAGATGATCTGTTGAGGTCCCTTCCAATCCTGCACTTCTATGATTGAAATGAACCAACCCAGGCATTTTGGGACCTTTCCATAGATTTTTCAAGGAATATTCAAGACGTCAATATTCTGAGGAACAAGAGAGCTTTGTCTTAACTAGGAATAGTGGTGGAGTGTAGGTCAGGCTTAGCTAACACGTGCTAACAACGCCTCACCTGAATGTGAGCTTTTTCCTAGGGTATATGCAAGGTCAGGGGTGCTGGAACAATGTGTATAGTGGGGATGCCGAGAGCCATTGAACCAAACTATAAACCCTGCATATGATGGAAACCACTTCAAGCCGGGGGTGCAACAGCACCCCCAGTCCCAGCACCTATGTGTGTGATTTAACAGGTCAAGTGGTAGCCCTGATTAGGTTATAGCTCAAGCAGTTAAATCAGTCTAACGGTGTCACCTTGCACATACACTAGGAAAAAGGTTAAGTTCAGATCAGACTTAACCGCATAAGCCCCCCAGGTTCCCCGGGTGCATACTCGCATTGCTAGCTCATGGTGTAGCCCGCCTTGCTGCACCCTCACTGATACTTCTAGCAAGCTAGCTAGAGCACGGCTAGCGCATGTGTCGCGGGGCTATGTCTACCCAGCATTTGGGAGCGAGCGGGCGCGGGGGGGGGTCGACAGACATGGCATTTGCGCTCTAACAATAGCTGTGCAGACAGCGCTTTGAAGTCGCAGCTCAGGCCAGAGTCCAGGCTCTGAAGCCCACCCTCGTCCCTACCTTCAGAGCCCGCGCTCCTGCCCAAGCCACAGCTTCAAGTGTGGTCGCACTAGCACGAGCCCCACTAAACCAAGTCTGTCGACCTGGGCTGGAAAGCTCATTCCAAACTGCTGTGTAGACACAGCCTCTGAGTTCTTCTTGAGATCTGCCCAATAATCCAAGCCAGCCAATTACACAGCTTTGGTGGTCATGAAACCACCGGCATGCAACAGACTGGTGCTCACTAACACCACGCCACCAAATGGAAAGCATCCTGGAGAAACCCATTCCCATAGCATGTGATGAATGAGGGGAAGAGGTGCAGTAGAATCATAGAATATCAGGGTTGGAAGGGACCTCAGGAGGTCATCTAGTCCAATCCCCTGCTCAAAGCAGGACCAATCCCCAGACCGATTTTTGCCCCAGATCCCTAAATGGACCCCTCAAGGATTGAACTCACAGCTCTAGGTTTAGCAGGCCAATGCTCAAACCACTGAGCTATCCCTCCCCCCAGAGCAGTACTGCTCAGCTTTCCCTTCCAGCCAGATGTCAGATGGCACTGCACACGGGCGGATGGTTCGAGGAGGGATGGGGATAAAATATTGACTCAGTATGACGGTGCCTGCAAAAACTTGAGAGACCCAGGCAGTTTAGCCCTACTGCTGAGAAATCGTCCAGACGTGGGTGTTGTGCTGGAAGCGAAGGGGAACACTGAAAATTATACACACAAGAACGGATCGTCAAAATGAAACACAAACCTCCATCCTCCTTACCCCTTGGCAGCGCTGATAATGGTACTTCAGGCCGTAAATACTGGGGAACTCCAGCCAGCAGCCTGAATTGGGGCACTTCACCCTGGAATGGGCCTTGAACTCATCTTTCCACTGGTTCATCAGGGGCAGCTGAGAAAGGGAGACATGGTGACATGCAGCGGAATACACACCTTCCAGCATCCCGTGAACACAACACACGCTGGGGCGAACATTTCAGAAGGGCAGGCCCAGCATGTACTCAGAATGAACTACTTGTACCTGTCACCACCTGCTTTCCACCCTCAGTCAGGTACATGCACTCAGGTTCGCTTCAACTGGGGATGCAATCACGCACGCATACATTGCACCTTTTGCAAAAGGGAAGCAGCCCATCTCTCGCTGTGTTTCCCAGGTGACTAAAGTACATTCTAGCCCAGCCCCGTAAATCTCACCAAAAGTCGCCTCAGTGATTTAACCACCCCACATTTCATCTAGTCAGCAAATCACGCCGCACCCTAGTCTAATGACAACCTGTTCCGTATGTTGTCCACGCTACAGGGCTGAAATTAAATTGTACAATTCCCCAGGGAACAACTCACACCTTACTACGCGCCACCTGATAATTAAACCAGCTCTGACACCCCCATGATGAATACGCCAGATCTCTAACTTGCCTAATGGAAAGCACCGTCTTTACATGCAAAAGCCTATTCAAGTGACTCGTGATGCTGAGTGTCCAACTGGAGACACCGTGAAGAAGCCCAGTTCTCCGAAAGTGCTGAGCAACTACACAGGTGTCTCAAGCGTGGCTCCCAACCTGCCAGTCACTTGTTGGAACCTGGACCGCATCTATTTTTCAAGTAATGCCAATGAGTTATTCCAATCCCACCCATCAAACACCACCCCCTTTGGCCACCCTACTGAAGAAACCACACTGTGGATCATGCCAGTGGTTAAGCCGTACTTTATAGATAATCCCCATAAATAAACCTTAGCTCACATCATCCTGTCACCCATGTCACTCCCGTAAGCACATCACACTTGGCATCAAATTGTTCAAAGGGGACGCACCCAGCTGTGCAGACAGACGTGTGCGCAAACACAGCTTCGTTAGCACATGTGACAGCAGGGCCAGCCTGAGCAAAAACGCTTCCAAAGGGGCAGCCGGATGGCTGATCTGTGTCAACAAACACTTGCGCTGTCTGGTTTTTAAAACCAGCATCCCTAGGTCCTGCTCCTGAGAGGTGCTGAGTCCAGTGGGCACCCAGCACCCTGCAGGTCAGTCCCACATTGCACCGTCCACCATCACAGAGCTTGAGTGATGTCGCCCCTAGCTCGAAGGGCTGCCGGAAGGACTCGGACTGGCACCTGAGCCGCTAAGCCAGACTGCAAAGCAGCCTCATGCTGGAAGGGGGAGTTGCTTTGAATGAGGCTGGTTGTTCTCGCTCCCCTTCTCCCGGGCAGACACACACACAGGCTCTGTAACAGCATCTCCCCCAGATTCCTTCACAGTCAGTGGAATTAAACTGGCTGATCAGGAACACCACCTGGGCATCTGGTGCTGGCCCTGCCCCACCTCAGACCCTGAGGGGTTGGGTTGGGCTTTTTACTAACGACTTTGCAGGGGGCTGGACAGGATGAGGAAGAGAGAACGGGAAGGAGAGGCTCAGACAGAGAGAGACGGGGGAAGAGGGGGATCAGGACACCAATGGATTTGGATTCTTACAGGAATGTCTTTCAGCACCTGGTTTTCTGCCTTAGGTCTCCCTTTCTTCTTGCCTTCTGTTTTGTCGCTGGTTGCGTTTCCTGCAAACAAACACAGAACATGTGGCCCACAGCTACCCAGCCAGCAAGTCGAGACCTTGATTTCTGTCGTTGCACTAGACTCCTCCTGCCTATTAACCGGCACAGATAGCCCACCATTTCCTGACCCTCCCTCCTGACTGTGCCGTGACTGTAGGGTGACCAGATGTCCTGATTTTATAAGGACAGTCCCGATTTTTGGGGCTTTTTCTGATGCAGGTACCTTTTACCCCCCACCTCCTGTCCCGATTTTTCACACTTGCTGTCTGGTCACCCTACGTGACTGTCCAAACTTCACACCACCACGATTCAGCCTGGATCTAAGCCAGGGTTAGAGCCAACCTCAGTGCAGGCCAGCAGCCAAACTCCGAGGGCGGGAATTTCAAAACCCTCAGCTCTGGGCTCGCTCTGCTCCCGTTTAACCCATTGACTTCAGCGGGAGGAGAGCCGGGCCGAAGTGGAGTGCTCCGGAAATCCCTACCCGACTCGTCCGTTTCTTTTTGTCTTCAACAATAAACAGGCTTGGGCTGGAAAAAGGGGCCAAACCCTGATGCCAGGGAAGGGAACCGGGGGCAAAGCTCCAACAACAGGACCGAGTAGCCCGAGCCAGGCTGGAAAACATAGGAATTGTCCCACCCCACCTTAATGCTGTAGAGCTCCGCTGCACTCCCACTCTGCCTGCACAATGGCTCCCAGCAATGGACAGCGACGTGGCGATTACAGGTGTGCTTAGAGTGGAAGCATTATGGCAGAGGAGGTGAGGGCTAGGAGGAGATGGCACGGGTAGGGGAGAGTGACGGGTTATGGCTATGGAGCTGATCCTGGGGAGTTGCAGAGACTGGAGGTGAGGCAGTAAGGCCAGGAAGAAGGAACAGACGATGGAGGAAAAGGATGGGGCCTAAAGAGAGACTACATGCCGCACATCACCTCTGTGAGGCTGTTTAGGGGGGAAGTTCACCCCTCTCCTGGGGGGCCAGCATGCAGCCTGTGAAGTGCTTACATCCTATCCTGAGGGCCTTGTACTCGGCCGACCCTCAGCCTGGTCTCAAGCCGTAGCAGCTTTGAGGCTCTTGCCCCTCGGTTCCCTACATGAGCCCTCACTCCCAGGCAATCCTTACTGGTCCCAGCGGGAGTCCAGCTCACTCTTGGGGTCTTTTCAGAGCCCTATTTGCAGTGACCTCGTCTCTAGCTCCTGGCGGCGCTTCCCAAGACCCACCTCCGGGGCCTTCGCTCACACCCAGCTTGTAGGATCAGCCTGCCCTAAACAGGGGGGCTGAAGGAAAAGGTTCGCAACTGCCTCAGGCTGAGTTACTGGAGCTCACTAGCAATCCCTGGGGAAACACCCCCCACTCCCCCTGTGGCCAGTGTCCCCCTCATAAGCTCCACTTCTCCATGGGGAGCTGGGAGCACGTTCTAGGTGTGTGCCTAATGGGCACTGCCTAAATGCAGGAACGCGCAGACAGACGGGGCACGTTCCAGCACCGGCCTAAATGGGACGATCATGATGTCTAGCCCTTGTTCTGGCTCCATTGTCCAGGGATGAATTGCACTGGAGCTGAATGAATAATTGATGGTTTGGGTCTGTCGACCCAAAACAATCCCCCCCCCACATTTTTTTAGTATAGTTTTCCACGTTATTTTCCCCCTTTTCGTTTTTTAAAAAGCAAATCGAGCTACATTTCTAAACGAAACGTCGTTCTGAAAAGGAAAGTTGACATTTTCATTTTGAAAATATCGACGTGAAATGTTTCAACGTTAAAAAAAGTCATTTTTTGCGGCCAAAACTATTCATCGCATTCGACCTAAATTCGTGAATAGTTTTGGTCAGGCCGAAACTGCATTTTTTTTTACCAAATAAACGATTTGTCCGAAAAATTTCACCAGTTCTAAAACTCATCCCATGTGAACTAAGATTGGATTATCACAGTTTTTCTGCTATCAGACTTGCTGAATACATCAACAGCAGCAAGGTACCTACCCAAATGACCCTGGTTTGCAGAGTCCATCTGCCAAGCTGCTGTCCCACAGGGCTGTATTTTCATAAAACATCCACTAGCATCCTGCATTACAGCCAGCATAATGGACCCTTAAAATATAACCTTAATCAACAGCGCTAATCCTCTGAAAATTCCACTAGGTCGAGCTCCTTTGGTATCCAATGACCTGGGTTGTTCTGCCGACTCCTGCACCAGTGTCCCAATGTAACTTCCTATCATTTCAAGCAGGATTGACGCTCTCCTTTCTAATTTCATACAACCCCCCTTGAAAACAAAAACAGAGCGAACCTAACCCTACTCAGCAGCAGAGTCTTATTGTCATGGGCCTGCCAGAATCAGAAGCTCAGAACCCTTCTGAACGGTGGAGAATGACAACATGTACTTACATATCACAGTGCTGAGCACTAGATGACTGCTTATGTCCTAACATTATGGTCTCCAGCTAGCAGCCAGGAGGCCTTCCCAGCACTACCCCAGTTTTACACTGAAATCAATGGAGCTACTCTAGGATAAGACAGGAGTAGTGCCGCAGAGCATCAGCGTCACCAAAGCAGGGTGGAGTTCTGCCCTTCCTCTTCCACTGCAGATTGTCAGTGTCCCGGTTGGGCTCTTGGTGCATCAAAGATTTTTTGGGGGTCTACTCCATACCCCACGGATGGGGCAATTACATACTTAGATTCCTCATGAACACGGAGGACAAGACTACCCCCGTGCTGTTCTCCTGGCCTATCACATTAGCTAACAGCACAGATGGGAGTTCCTTGCAAGAGGAAGGGGGCAGTTTTCTTCTCCTCCTCGCCTGCCTCTGAAGATTTTGGGATCCTAACACAGGACACGCCAGGAACATCCTCTAGGATGAAGAGGCACGGCCCTGCAAAAGTCCGCAAAGGAGACAGTTTTGCTGACATCCTTCCAATCTGTGGTCAGTGCTGCTTATTTTGCAAATAGGAGCTTTTGGAGTCGACTGAAGTATTTATTTACTGGCAAGGAATCAGAAGAGCCTCCAGTCATACTCTAAAGCCCTGGTCGAGTTTCCCTCGCGTCATCACCGAACAGGCTGGGTGAGTCCGGGTGAGCTACTGCACCCACAAAACCACTGGCTGTTGGTTTTGTTATCAATACAGTTGCTGACATGGCAGATTGAGTTTTAGGGGGCCTTAAATACGTACCTTAGAGGCGTTGGCCTTGTGCCTGAGGTGGTGGGTACGAATGCACCACAAAACATGACCTCATTGTGCCTTTCTGGTATCGCAATCTCTCTCTCTAGTCTAACTTCCAGTTCAGGAATCTCCGGTTAAAAACATCATTTTGTTTCATTTAATATAGCGTCAGGTACAGGAATGGTCTAGTGCAAGATGGCAGAAGCAACTAAGAGTGACAAAAAATAGCAAATGCCTGTTTTTCAGTTATATTAAAGGACATATTAGTGATTTTTATTACATTTTCCATGTGCCCATTTCTTTGACTGCTAGCATTCTCCCTCTGTTCCTGCTTCCTCCATCTACTCAGGGTATAGTTTAAAGCAAGCATTCAAAAATCATAAGTCAGGGTCCCAAAGTTATGAGATCGACTTTAAAAATAATACATTTTTGGGTTGGGAGTGGGGGTTATTTGCTTTCTGGTGTCTGAGACTTAAGGGGTCACATTTGTCCATAACTATGAAGTCTAAATCTTACGTTTGCTTTTTAAATGAAAGCTGCAATTCTCATTTAATAACATGACTCCAGGAGCTGGGGCTCTAAGAAAATTACTGTGAGAGTTGTGCTAAAATATGATCCTAGATATGATCCATATTGCTTGGCACAGGCTTATCTACTGATTTCAATGGTAGATGAGGGTGCTCAGCCCTTCTGAAAAGCCAGCCTCCAGGTTTTTAAAAATTTGGCAACCACAATGGAAACATCCAAATTAGAAGCCACTTTTGAAAATGCAGAAAAAACATGAATAGTGGAAACAAATTCTTAACGTTTTCCGTAACTAAATTAGACCTTATTTGCAGCTGTACTGTAAAGGTGCAAATATCCGCAATCATGGTATAAAAACTTCAAAAGACTTTGGGACCAAATTGTCAAAACCGGGCCTCTTTGTGTGCATGCGCAACTCTGCCTGCACTACCACTCGCATGCACAATTTTTGGCACACGGCTGCTAAACTAAGAACGCTGACACATACCAACTCCAAGCCAAACACAAACGGGTTCTGAGCTTGTCAATCTTATCATTTGTATGAGCTAGTGGGAGTGTGCAAAAAAGTGTACAGGCCCCCAGAAGTGAAACCATCCCCCCTCCAGAGGGCCAGGACAAAGCCTGTCCCATTTAAGCGTTTCGTTGAGGGCTTAATTGCAACTTAAGTGGTGCACAGAGTGAATTTAACCCAAAGGCAGGTTGAAAAGATGTCCCTCTGCAATATCCGGAATAGGCCAGTAGAAACAGTAAGCAGTAAATTGAAGATTCAGGCGTAGATGCGGAGGGTTTAATTAAAGGAGGAAAAAAACCAGTGCTAGTAAATGCTCCATCTGAAGAGGAAACAAAAACAGCTTGTGGAGAACAATTTACATTTACAAAAAAAACACCAACAGAAAAATCAAACAAAAAACAACCCAAGAATAAACTCTGCAAACTCACATGCTGTACTGCCAGAGAAGTCAAAGATTCCGGCTCAGAATCTGGCTCTAATTTAGAAGCTAGATCTGTGGGGTTTTTTCTTTTTCTTTTTTTGGAACAACTGTTACAAGTTAGATGAAAGGCTACCGGGCTACCTACAAAACTTTCCCTCAGAATAACCTGACTCTCAAGTTTTATGCTGTATGCTCCAAATACCCTGGGGCAAAGAGGCATCTAGGAAATAAGACTGTTGAGTATTTTATTTCTAGTCCCTTAAAGTCATACCAGCTGTTCTGCTCAGCTTTGACAGCCACGAACCCATCGTCCCGCTGATCCGTAACCATGTGTGTGTAATATGTGGCTTTTAGTCTATGGCACAGTTATAACCCTTACGGAATATAAAATAACTGCTGAAAGCTGAGCTCTCTGCCTTATACAGCCACATATCTGACCCCCCCGTAAGGAAACCTCATTGCTCCAGTGCAGCTCCCATAGCTGCAATATAACAGAATGATTCATTCTAGCGGTCAGAGCAATCAGGAGCCAGCTGGTGTGACAGTGGGGACCGGAGCCCATTAAACCAGGTTAGTTCACAGCCATGTATTTGCTGCTGTTTATGCCATTCAGCCCCACACTTTACAAACAGCCTCGCAAAACTGTCATGAAGACACACCCATGCAGATGGAAACTCTGCCTGCCCTTCCCCTGCCAGGATGATTGAGCATAATGAAAAAAGAAATGAATGCTAGGCACTTGCCCATCAAAAACAATTACTAGCCCTGATTAAGTGGGTTAATAGAATTTTGCATGGTTGCTTTGAAATCATCTTAGTTCTGGAGTAAGGTTTGCAGGTCCCCTTTCAAAACCATTACCAAAGTTCCGTTAAGAGTTTTCCACTTATTAGAAATTCTGTTTGTTGGTTACATATTTTTCTTTGCCTCCTGGATTCTGAGACTGTAAGGTGCACACAGGTAATAGTTTCAAGATTTTCTATGCAACCATGAGGGCTAGAAACTTTACTTTATTGTAAGTGAAAGCTGAGCTTCTCACATGACTCCAGGAGCTGGGACTTTAAGACCAACACCCAATATTGCAAGACTCACAGTAAAACAGCAAGAGTTGGCAACCCTGCAACTTCACTGTTCTCCCCTGTCAGGAGGAACAGTCCTTTCTGAAAAATATCTGTTACTTTTCCACTTTGTCCCTCCGAAACACTCTGCCAGTTCAAAATATTCCAACGCAGCAAGAACAGCGTGCCCCTGTTTTTCTATGTAGTTCCCCAAGAAAAGAAGCAGGCCAGTGGGGAGCCTGGCATGTTTGGAATGGTTGGTGACAGTTGATCCTCTCTATATTTTTAAAAACTTTTAAAGACTTTAAAAACTTTTTTTTTTTTAAATTTAATTCCTTGTTCATCCATTTCCAGCACTGTCAGAGATGCAAATTGCTTCTTCGTCAGGGATGAAGAAGAGGGAGCAATTGGAGGCCTAGTCCACAGGAATAGAAAATATATCGCTTTTTTCCCCAACATCTGGGCTCACAGCTACCCATCTGCACCACCTGCTAGTTCCACAGCACAGCTGCAGGGAAGCCAGCTGTGGTTAGTGTGGCGGGATTATGTACTGTATTGGCATGCCGTGCACAGCTCAACGCTGCTGGTGTTAAACCCAGATTGTTTATAGTCATGTACAAGGGAGGTGCCTTGCTCCTCCATTCCCGCAGCTGTGAAGAGAAATGCAAAGTGTACATCTTCTAAAAAGTTGAGAGACAGGGTCAAACCCTGTACCTTTAAGGCACACGGAATTCTGTGCAGATTCTCTAGGTATCCAAAGCCCCTCATGGTCAAGACCAAAGCCACAGCATGAAAACCATGCTCCCCTTGAAACGGATCCCAGAACAGACAGGCTGGGCACGGGCTTTGGAACGACTGCAAGCCAGAGAGCGCCAGCAAAGCTATTACTGCAGAGGCAACTTCTCCCTGGATCTGCACAAAGCTTAATTTCACACCTGTGAAATTAACCTTGTTAGGAGCTAACACCCCACAGAACTCTCCCACCAGCGGGAATAATTAAAAGTTTTCGCTCCGTCACATTCATTTAAACCGCGAAGTTGAGGAATTAAAAATGGAGGGTGTTTTTATTTTATTTTAAAGACACTGACAAGAGCTGATACAGCAAAAACCAAAAAAGCCTTTAGTTCACTCTACTTAGCTCTGAGTAACACCACTCGGATAGCAATTATATGTCCATAATTAATTATTTTCTACCTCGCTGCAGCTACAAGCACTTGTGAGTGCTCAGACAATTGGGCTGCCCGTCGGAGCGTCTCTGACACCTAGTTTTGGGGTGGGATGGATGCTGACCTGTGGAATGGAATGTCTCATTCTTTACCCCAAGGGTGCCTTTCATCTCAGTTTAAGAAGAGTTCTCAAACTTTTTCAGAGCCTGGACCCCTGTTTAATCCAGAGAGTGTCTCGTGAACACTCCCCTGCACGTGTACGGTCAGGGGAGTCACCTCCCGTCCCACTGGTGATTTAATAACGTCCCTGTAGCAACTACGGCAATTGCCTACAAGGAAAAGTAACACTTAGGCCAAGATTTTACCAAGTGACCATTGATTTTGGGGCCCAACTTGAGACATCTTAAAGGGGCCTGATTTTCATAATGTGATGAGTACCCATCCTAGGGCCCTTTAAAGTGTCTCAAATTGGGCACCTAAAATCACTGGAAAGGGCCAGCTTCATGTAAGCAGCCAGTTTTCCAACATAAGAACAGCCATCCTGGGTCAGACCAAAGGTCCATCTAGCCCAGCATCTTGTCTTCCGACAGTGGCCAATGCCAGGTGCTTCAGAGGGAACTTCCTCAATGAGTGACTGTTCATCATCGCCACATGATTCATGTGGCCTCCACCAGCCATCAGCATAGGCAAAGTCCCCATTCTGTGCATCACCACCGTGGCCCACGGGACAAAGCCAGATTAGCCAACAACGACTTCCACTAGGAAAAAAGAGCCATCTTCGGGCGCCTGCATTCTCAACATGGAGCAAAAGCACCAACAAACTTCAGCCCAGTAGATCACCCACTTGGCTGAACTTTCTAATAGCCTTTCCTGGAAAGAGACGGGGACATCAGCGAATGCGCCGCTCCATTCTGCCAGCCGGGGGAGGAGAGTTTCAGGCTCTTCTGTAGACTGGCACAAACTATCCATGTGACAAATCTCATTACAAATAAATAAATAATAATAAAAAGAATTACTCGCCATCAGGACCAAGAATTCACATAAACGAGAGTGCTGTATCCAGACTGCCTAGAGGCACGGTCCTGGCCATCCGAATGAGCTGCACTGTGGGGATGACAGAGACTTCCCTTATGTTGATGGATGGCGGAGGCCATGTGAGTCACGCAGTGCTGATGAAAGGTCACTTAATGGGGAGGATGAGCTTCCTGACTGGGTCTTGCCCAGCCAGGGCATTCAGCCCAAGACGGCAAGCTGCAGCAAAGTAACTCAAACTTATGGCAGGTTTATAGGTCCCTGGATAGAAAATCAACTTTCACCGGAATGACAACCTTTAGCAAACAAATCCCATTGGCCTCACACATTCACAAACCCAGCATTCTGGGCGGGTGACAAATGAGACCCAAGGCGCAATAGACTAGATAGACAGAGAGCATTCAGGAGGTCTGCTTCCCTACCTCTCAACTGCCCCTCGTTTCAAGCCACATCATTCACTTCCGTCCCCAATTTCCCTACGTTCTATACAGATCTAGGGACCCCTCGCTTTACTGCAGAAAAGCATTTACATCAGCAATAGAGATGAAACTGAGGCAGCAGAATGGGTCACGCTACCTAACCGAATCCTCTAGCATTTTCCCAGGTCTGCATGTAAAATGTGTGTCCCTCAGTCTGGATCTTTGCTTCACACGCAGGCTTTGGCAGGCTGAGCGGTATGTCCCCTTCCCCTTGGTTTGGAAGGTGACGGTTCCAAGACCTACCCTGTGCCCTGTCTCCTCCACCCCCTTAGCTTTGAGAAAAGAAAACCCAATTTCTTACCCAGCTTGGGGGGCTCAGGGGTCGGATTTACCCTCATCTCTGTCCTGCTGCCTTCTTTGCTTGTGCTGGTTTTGCTGGACCCTGCAGCTCTCCTTCCACCTCTGAAGGAATATGGATCCGCCATCTCTAGAACGAGCAGAAGACACATGTTAAAAACACACAAACCCTCTGCCTCAGAGAAAGCACACGCTACAAGCAAGAATGGCGTCTAGGGTGGAAAAAATATTAAACAGGACTAAATGTTCTCATTTAACAAAGAAGCGGGGTATATTTGCAAATATTTGTTTTATGGTTGCGTGATACTATAGATATGGTTGAGGAGCTGCTTTCATTATAAACCCGTTTCCTCTACGCATACAAGAGCAAAGACTTTATTAGAAATGACGGGCTGGATTCCTACAGAGAAACAACGAACAAACGGCTTTTTCTTCTTTGCTTATTTCTCTGCTTTCGTTAGAAGACAACAAAAGAAAAGAAAAAGTGAGTTTTAATTAACAGATCCCGTGATAAATTTCCAATTTGCGTTATGAATGGCAAACTCGTCTAAACTGAGAATTGTTAACGTTATCTAGATCCCCCGGGTTAATAATTCAGTTTGGCTTCTCTGTAAATAATGAACATCAAAAATGATCCCGAGAAGCCCGATCTCGCTTCCGTGGAAGCCGACAGCAAAACTCCATCAACTTCAATGGCGGCAGGAAGAGTCTTCGGGATTGCTGGCTGTTACAGTTCCAGCCCGAGTGGGAGTATTTTCAAACACGCTGTAAAAACATCACAATAAAATGAACGGAGGGAGGGAGGGGTTAAAACAAGTGGCACGAACACATGGTGTAGACTTCTATCCACTAGGCCACCCATGCAGCAGAGACGACGGGGTCCTCCGGAAGTCATTAGCTGCAGAGGTCTTTATTGCTTTTATAGCTTGGAAGCCTCTTAAAGCATGTAATGAATCTGCTAGTGTTGAGGAACTGGTGATTTTAGGGCAGCATGGGGCAGGTGTATCTAAGGGCTGGCCTGGAGAGGCAAACAGCGTCTCTATAATTAGCTACATTGTGGAGACAAAGTCGATGGGAGTCAATTGAAGCATAGCTCTTTCCCATTAGCCCAGCCTCTGTTGTAAAGGATGATTAAACAGACTATGCCAAATCCATCCCTGGTGTCAGTCAGCTGAAATCAATGGGGCTGAACGAGGGATGAATTTGGCTCATCTGTTTGCAATGGCAGTTTGTTCCTCTAATGCACAAGTCAATTTCCGATTGGGATCTGAGTGAGAAGGCCAGATTAATCTCCCTGAGGACCCGAGGGCTTGACCCTGCCTCTTTTACTCAGGTGAATAAAGGTTGCATAGTTGGTCCTCAGTTCAAATAAACGGGCTGTGCAGGGTTGAAACGGCAATTCCATAACGCACAGACGTGGCCAAGTGCTGTAACTCGGGCTCTCAACCTTTCCAGACGACTGTCCCCCTTTCACGAGTCTGATTTGTCTTGCGTACCTCCAAGTTTCACCTAATTTCAAAGCTCCTTGCTTACAAAATCAGACATAAAAATACAAAAGTGTCACAGCACGCTAGTACTGAACAATTGCTGACTTTCTCTTTTTTACCATATGATTATAAATAAATCGATTGGAATATAAATATCGTACTTACATTTCAGTGTGTCGTATATAGAGCAGTATAAACCAGTCATTGTCTGTATGGAATTTTAGTTTGTACTGACTTCGCTAGTGCTTTTTATGTAGCCTGTTGTAAAACTAGGCAAATATCTAGATGAGTTGATGTACCCCCTGGGAGACCTCTGCAAAATAGGCCTATGCACAGAGCCCAACCTGCCTGGCTCTGTGGCCAACTCACCCCTACTGTGTGGCCATGGGAAAGTTATTTAAACTCTCAATTTCCCAAGCTACAAGACAAGGATGCTAATATTTACCCACTGTCCAGGAGCAGGGGGAGGATTGATTAGCTAATGTTTGTAGAGTGCTCTGATGAGGCTAGGTACTGTTATTAGAAGGGGTGTGTTTGTTTGTGTGTGTGTGTGTGTGTGTGTGTGTGTGTGTGCGCGTGCCATCAGCTAGTGGGCAAATATTTTGTTCTCTCGATGGACATCACACTCCAAATGTTTCCTGGTTTGTGTTGTTTATTGTAGGGTTGCTTGTTTGTATTTACTATTTACTTATGCTTAGGTATTTGTTTTGCTCTTGGGTTTACTTGGGCAAGCTGCTCCTTTGTACTTATTGGGCCCAACTCTACCCTCAATTACACACGTCTACACCAGGAGTCCACTGAAGTCACTGGAGTGATACCAGAATCAGACCCACTGTGCACGTCACAGTTTTGTAAATAACAGCACCTAGCTCTTATCTTCAGTAGATCGCAAAGCTCTTTACAAAGGAGGCATCATTAGCCCCATTTTACAGATGGGGAAACTGAGGCACAGTGGGGTGACGTGATTTGCCTAAGGTCACCCCAGCAGGCCAGTTGCAGAGCCAGGACGAGAACGCGCATCGCTCCTGAGTCTCAATCCAGTGTTCTATCCACTAGGCCGCACTCTTGCCTAGAGACCTTTAACTACAAGCACCTACAAATTCAGACGTGCTTTTGCGGTTATTATTCATACTCTGCAAGTCTGCATTGCTGTGAAATTAAACATCTGTCTAGCCCTGTAAATGCAGATGGTCCTTTACAGAACCCATGCTCCCTGCCCCCCAGAGCTTACAGTCCAAACAGGCCAAGCCAAAGATGGGGCACATGTTCAGGAGAGGAAGGGATGCTCAGTGATCCCCAAACACCATAGCACCCATGTGTCTTATCCCCTGGCTCCTGGCACACATACCAGTCTCCCACCTCCATCTCTAAATCCTCAACACCCCTCCATGCCTAACTGCTGCCTGCTCTGGTCCCCAACCAGCCTGTAGAAGCTGGGGCACCTGTGAGGAGTGGGGCATTTGTGGGGAGGTGCCACATTCACCCTTATTCTGCAGCAGCAGGGCTCCCATCAGAGTCTTGCTCCCATGGTCCCTGAGTGGCCCCCTTCCGGTGGGAGGGAGAGGTTCAGAGCAGGGAGGGGAAGGTCACAAAGGCTCAGCGTTACCTGATGTGGGGAAACCCCCTGGATCTGAAAGGGCCAGATGCCAAGGACAGCAGCCCTCTCCCTGAGCCCACCTAGCCACATCCCCACACAGCTCCACACACCAGCAGCTTCCACAGAGCTGCGGGAGGGGGAGGGAGGGAGGGAGGCTGCTGGGGCTCCCTCTGACAAAGCGTCCCCACGTAGCAGCGACGCGCAGTTTCCCCTCCTCTGCAGGATTCCTCTCTGAGCAGGACGCGGCTTTGAATTAGGACCGAATCCCATGTCTTTATCAGCACTAGACTCCCTATCCGCACTTCCCCTCCTTGGCCCCGACAACCCTGCAGCTTCGCCGAGCTGAACAGCCACGGATGGCTCTTTCACCCCGGTGTGTCGTTCCTGGAGCCCCGGATGCAACAGCCTGGCCTGAGGCCTGCAGGAGGTCAGACTAGATGACCATAATGGTCCCCCTTGCCCTTAAGATCTATGAATCGATGACTGTGCATATGTTGAAGGTGCAACCCATTACGCTCATTCATTCAGTCCAGCGGCACAGCTAAGGAACGGCAAAGTCAGCTCTGGTTTGTTCTCCAGTTAATATGGAGATATACCTATCTCATAGAGCTGGAAGGGACCTTGAGTCCAGTCCTCTGCCTTCACAGCAGGACCAAGTCCTGTCCCTGACGGATTTTTTGCCCCAAATCCCTAAATGGCCCCCTCAAGGATTGAACTCACAACTCTGGGTTTAGCCAGCCAATGCTCAAGCCACTGAGCTATCCCTCCCTCCAAACAATTAAACAGATTGGATGTTTCACCTCGGAACTTCCTACAAAATTCCTTTCTTTGCATCAGTTTGCCTTAACTCGATTAACAAGAATCTACACGATGCTGGCCCTAATTACACACCAATAGACACACAGCTCAGCAAACCCAACTGGCCCATCTGAGCTGCCACAGCTCCCCCGCAGTTACGCGAAAAGAATGTTCATTGGTCTGCTCATCATGTGCTAAGGCCTCAACCCAAGTCCCATCCCAAGAAACAGCAAAGGTCTAGGGACCAGGATCATTTGGAATTCAGCTTGCGTGTAGGCACCTGCCCTTGCTGCTGCATGGGCCTCGTGGCGAGAGCATGAGACTGGGATTCAAGAGGTCTAGTCCCAACTCTGCTATTGGCCCGCTGGGTGACCCTGGGCAAGTCACTTTCCCTCACTGTGTGTCTGTTTCTCCAGAGATGACAACGATAACGGCCTTCTTTATCCAGGGCTTTGAGATCTACCGGTGAAATGCACTACAGGAGTGGGGGGAGGGATAGCTCAGTGGTTTGAGCATTAGCCTGTTAAACTCAGGGTTGTGAGCTCAGTCCTTAAGGGGGCCACTTAGGGATCTGGGGCAAAATCAGTACT